AATCAGTTTGCAATACTAGTTCCAATCAAGGTGTAAAATACCAACTTATTGACCGGCTATTCAAAAATATCATTCTTGATTTAAATTATTTTAATTATTCAAAAAGACATCTGAAACAATGAGCTAATGACTGATAACAGAGCAAATGAGTTGGTATTTTATACTCTAGTTCCAATACATTATTCATTTATTCAACATACAATATTTGTATATTAATCTTTTTAAATAGGATGATCAAATGGTTTAACTGAATTATCTGATGTATTAGTTATTACAACTTCTAAGGTAATTAACAATATAAATTAGAGAAATTCAGGTAAATTGAAGAAGAGTTAACTCAGTGATCATTACAACATCATATGACAAGTATTCGGCCTAAGTTAGGGTTAGGTTATGGTTAGAGTTAGGGTATATTTAGGCCAGTTTGTTTTAATTTTGGTAAACAAATGACATCATTATATGTTTATCATGTGATTGTCGATCACTGAGTTAACTGTTCTTCAAGTGTCCTGAGAAATTCTACTTTCACCAGAGCCCAGTGGTTGTTAGAAGCAAAACTAGCTAGCAAAATTAGCTAGTAAATTTTGCAAAATTAGCAAAATAGCTTATTAAAAAATTTATGCTTATCAAATCTAAATTTTAATGTAATCATATATTCTTCAATAAGTTCTTAATATATCATTTCAGTAAGTTCTCTAGTTATTAGTTAAGAACATGCATATAATTATTTACTTATACAAATTAGTTTAAGAACAAAAGTAATAGTTGTATGTTTAGTACAAAAGTAGCAAAGTTAGCATTTTAGCACAAACAATGTTGCTAGCTATTTTACTAAAAAATAGCACTATTTTAGATGCTACTAAAATTCATTGCTCTGACTTTCACCTACATGTAAATAAAATTTTCCTAATTTATATTATTGATTATCTTAAAACTTGTAATTATTAAAAGAATTTACATTAATTACTTTAGAACTTTTAATTTTCAAATTAATCTGAATAGTTCATTAGATAATTTGGTTGTTTATTTATTAATCTATTTTATCCAATTATCTATCAAACATTAGATATCTAATATATAATCAGATAAATAGTTCATGGAGTGGAACTCTATATAATATATAATTAAATAAAAACCAGATCAAATTTGTAAAAAATTGATATGTTTGATATATGAAAAAAGGGTTTAGTAAAAATCTTAACATCCAAAATTTTGACAGGCTATAATACTAACATCACACAATGACAATTTAATATTTAAAGATTAGTAATCACATTAACAATTATTGTCAGACTTTAAATTTTTAATTGTCACTTTATGTGATGTCTGTATTATGGTCTATCGAGATTTTGGATATTGGGATTTCCTATTAGACCCGTAGAAAAAAAACTTCCTTGCTTAATAACAGCAAGAAAGTAGCTTACTATTTTAAGACCAAAATCATAAGTTTTGCAAAGTTTAGATATATCAATTAATACTTTCAAAATATAAATTGAATTAGCAGAGATAATGAATTATAGCAATAGTATTAAAAAATTAGCATTAAAAAAGTAATATAGTAAGGTTATTATGCATAAAAAACAAACTATCCATAGTATAGATTGCATTTTAGCTTGCAAGATTACAAGTTTAAACATTATGTCTATAATTTCTATAGTTGACATATTTGTTTTGATTCCTTTGACTATTATTTGTATTTGTACTATTAGAACTATAAACATTTTTTTGAGAATTTGCAGTCTGCTCCAATGCACTCTTAAATCATTTAGACGGCTGTCCACAGTGTTTTGTCACAAATGGATTAACAATGGCTGGTTGAGATTCAACTTTATTATCAACTTTATTTTCTTCTAAAAGTTGTAATTTATGTGTTTTAGTTAAAATAAATTTCTCTATAAAATTAAAGAACTCGTCATTACAATTAAGCTATAATATAAGATTTAGTGCTTTCTTTGTTAGTTCATGTCCCTTAGACCAACAGATTTTTGTAGAATAGGCGTAGATACATTAAAAACACAAAAACAAAGTAAATGCCAAAAGTCAATTGTATAAGGGATATTATTAGGTGCTGAGGGCCTATTAGATTCACACAATTTAATAGACAGAAGTGAAGTAACAAGATCCTTATTTCATTCATCTTGTTATCCTTATACCAACAGGTTGATATTAAGGAAATATAAAACTTAGCAAGATGTGATTTTATTAAAACTTTTATAAAGTGACAGCAGACGATTCCTTTACTGATTAAAGTAAGGCAGGTATATAAATGTGTACTATTGGTAAGTATTAAGACATGATGGTTAAAGTGGCTCAGAAATAATCCCTGCAGTGCTACTGTCCAAATTTGAACAATATCCTCATATTGTAATTGTTGTAATAGTACTTTAAAACCAGTTTGATGCTATTTATAATCATTTTCTAGATATCTATTTTCAACAATGTTTTCTGATTCTGAAGGAATTTATCCCATTTGTAAAACATTTTAGTGGCGTTATACAAAAAGCTGCTGCCATTGAGTAGAAAGAATATGAGGAGTTAAATATTCTTAAATTAATGAATCAATAACAGGGAAGTATCAGCTTGCAATATGAGGCAAGCTGACAGAAGGAATCATGTTTTTCTGTTCATTTATTCTTGCATATTGTGCTTCTTCATCTAGACGATTTTGTATAGCATCAATTAGATGTAATAATGTTGAACAATGTGAAACCTCCTTCTTGATAATTGCATTCATACTTTCTACTCATTGAGTACTTTGGATGCCAGCAGTAAAACATATTTGTGTATAACAAAAATCTCAGCTATGTGTGATAGATAAAGTATTTCAAGTGCATACTGGGATGCCTTAGAGAATGATGCAAGAAATTCAACAAACCGCGTCCAATGACACTCAAAATCAATTTCAAACAAACTATTACGACAATGATAAAAAAGTTTATAAAACTCAGCAAAGTTCTTGCACATAATAGGTTTCATTTTCTTAACAAATTATTGTTTAAATAAAAAATACAATGAGAATAATGTGTGTTAAGCCATATACTTTACAAGGCTGCACTCATACCCAGGTCAGCATCTGTATAAACAGTTTTGGAAATGATTTAATCTGTTGCTTGATTTAACTGTTCTAAAACCCTAAAACATTTATTATTATTAAAACAAAAATAAAAAAAATATTAGAACAACTAGCTTGTGATATATATTAAAAAAAGAGAAGAAAAAAAACAAAAAAAAAAAATGTATACTATTTAAAAGACACTTGAGTTTTATCTTCTAATAATGTTTGCACTACAATATGTGAATGAGTATTATTATCTATGACTAGAAAAAGACACAACAGCATTTCATAACAATTTGTTATACAGGTATTATCTAATATCACAATGTCATAAAATTTGGTCCATAATGAAACTTGTAAAGGTAACATCCAGAACAGAGCTATTAACCAATTCTCTTTACCTATATTAGATATAACTACTTATCTAGGGTCCTTTACTTTTAAAGCTATTAATTGTTGCAAAGTTTCTGCAGCATCTGTTTTTGTTTTTTCATATGATGGAATTCTGAACTTTTGAATAGCATTGGATAAATTTTTCTTATCAATATAGCTGTCTTGATATTTCACTTTTAGAAGATTATACTGCATCTTAGCACCCATACCTTCTGCAGATTTTGTGTAAAATTCGATATCCTTTAGCATTTCATTTGAGAGTTTATAAAAACATGGTGCAGTTTGAGCAACTATTGGGTTTATTTCGTGTTTATGATAATTACAAAGTGAAGTATAAACTATCTAAATAGATCTCTTATGATTATTAAATTTATATGCCATTGATAATTAATGGTAGCAGAAGGGTGTTCATGCTGTTTGGTAATATCAATTACTTTTTTTGCTTTGTGTATACATGAATATAAATATTCATAACTATGATGACGAATTTCTGAATTGTCAGAGTAAAGATCAGTTCTACTCACTGAAAAGAAAAACCTTTAGACTTTGCATACAATTCTATAAATTTATCTACATCTTTCCATATATTAAATGTAAGGCCAACATGTAATAGAAATAGATTTTTTTGTGATTCTTCATCACTAAGAGAGTCTTGTAAACTGCTTAAAACAATTTACATGAACATATAAATAAGTTATAAGCTCAAACTCAGTTTTTAAAGATAAATTAGTATTCAACAAATTATGAACTCAAGTTCTAAACAAACCTAATAAAAGAACACCACTTATCTAACTTCATTTTTTGAACTAAAATTCTGATCACTATTTTCAAATAGCATTTCATTTTCTGAACTAAAAGTTGCTTTATCTAGTAAGCAAACTGTATAATTTTCAAAGCTAGAGTTTAAATAATAGTAGAACATTTATAAGTTTTATTTTTTTAAATAGGCGGGTATAAGAGGTAGATTAGTGGTGGCAGAAATGATCCTTGGACACATGATTTCTGAGCCTATTAGAGCTCCAAAAGTCATATATAAATCAATTATGATAATCAATAATTAAAAGTATAATGATAATTACAATAGTGCTAAAAATTATTGTTAAGTTCTTTATACAATATATATTAGCAATGCAGAGAGTTTCTGCAATATTAAATATCAATTAATAAAGTTTGCACAATAAAAATTTTACAGGTACAATTACTTTTGTATACTATTAAGTTAATGGAGCCAGAATACTAATTTGCTGTGTATCGAAGACTGCCAAGTACTTTGCTGTTTTTTTCCTCTAAGAACTTCAATACATGTAGCAGTTTTAGCAATAATTGGCTTATAAACTTCATAAAACTTGTCATTTTCAATATTATTCTCTACAAGTTTTACTAATGTTTTATATATTTCTATATCAGCTGCTAGCTCTTCCTTTCTATTCTTAATTACAGTCCAACGATCAAATATATGAGAAGTTATTTCTTCATTAGTTATTATTTCTATTTTATTTTCAAATTCACTAATATCATCTTGTAGATTGTTGTTCCAAGGATGATTATTTAGATAGATTCTTAGAAGATTTTGAATGCTAAAAGAAATAAACAGATAGTCATAGTGACGTGATGTAGAAAGGAATTGAGGAAAAAATCCTGAATTTCTGGTACTGTATTTCTTTACTAGGTGTTTACATAAAAAATAAGAGTTATATATAAAATTAAGGCAAGAACAAACCCAAATATCTATGTCAGTAATATATTGACGATTGGTGTTTATTTTTTTTTCAGATGCTAATTTTCATGCATGTTTAAATTGACTCCACCATGATGGAAAATCATGGTTAATATAAAACCTTTGACAAGTATTTTCAATATCTGGGACTAGTTCTTTTACCAAAATTTGAGTTAGGCAGTCTAAACATCAGGGTTGTGAGCTTACATAGTCTAATGGGAAAAAGTCATTAGACAAATATATGTCTATTCATAATTTTTATATATCTAATGGTTGTCTAATACTGTCTATTCACAACCCAGCTAAACATGGATGATTATTATTATATTTATAATTATATTTCAAGATGCGCCAATGTGATTCAACAATCATAGTAATTCTAAAAATTGGGATGGCTTTTGAATATGATGCTTGAGTGAAGAGATTCCAATCACCTTTGTTATACCACGATGACTATAAAATAACCTTATAAATTGACGAATTGATTTTGCTGACAGAATTTGTAAATCTCAAAAATGCTTTTATAATATATCTCTTCTGATGTAAGGTAAATACGTGTATCAGTATTTGTAGGAATTAGTGGGTGTAAAATTGAATGTTTTTTAACTAAATCTAATATTTTTTTTATAATTTCATTAGGATATGAGATACAATTTTGTTTTTCAGAATTAGAGACCCAATTTGGATCAATAAAGCTAAGATATTGATTTGCTTCTACTGCTTTTTGTATGGAGTACTAAGTTTTTTTAATTTTTTTTCTTCTAATTTATATTTTATTGCTCTTTCTATATGCCAAAAATAGAGCTGGATAATAGATTAAGGCCAGACTATTTTAACTGTAGAAATTTCACCTGAATCTTTATCCAAAAGTATAAATGCAGGTTTAATTCCTTCATTTAGTAAATTAGCAAAAAAATCTTTAAAAACGTTAACCCGTTGGTTTATATGATTCTTAGGATTTAAAAGAAATTCCTTAGGTGCAGCATTGATGCCTACATATAAGTATGCAAGTGGCACTCCATATCTGCCACAATTAGAATGTACTACAAATAATTTAAACTTTCCTTAGTTGGTTTTAAACGTAGAATCTATAATAATTTCGGTTATGCTATTACTTTATAGTTGTTGAAAGAATGGTGTAATAAATTCAAGCGAATATACGAAGTCGTTTTCACAATAATAAACTACCTTGTATCCTTAATTTTTTAAATCATACTGTTTCAAGAAGTTTTTAAAAGACTTTAATTGGTTTTTTACATCTGTTATATAAAGGTCTTTAGAAAGTTCATTTATCCAATAGTATACTTGTATATAAGTATGTACTGTTGGATTAATTATTTGATCATTACAAAGCTGTTTATAGATATTAATCGTTCTTGAACTATG